ATTAATTTTAGTGATGTCACCCGGGGGGAGCCCATAACGCAATTAGTTGATTTACTGACAAATCAAAATGGAGGCCTTAGGAATTTTTCAATCAACTGTAATTTAAAATTCCTTTCAAACTTAGTATAATTTAAATGAGGATTTTACTTATTTAAATATTTATGCAATTCCAAATTAATCCTATGTAAATGCAATAATTATTTAACATGCATAAATAAATATGCAATTCTAAATTAATTCCATGCAAATACAATAATTAATTAACATGAATAAATAAATAAATAAATAATGGCATAATGAATTTAAATAAATAAATAAATAAATTCACTCTTGTGACCATTAAATATTGAGTCTCCTTAAATAAGGAAACTTTGTATATTCTTTCCCTGTTCAACTGGAACTCCCGCTGCAGTAGAATCATGGTTGATATTGTACTGCTTGGTCATCAAGTAAACCTCTCCACCTCAGCTACCGCCCGCCGCCGCCCGGCCTTCGGTCGCCGGCAGAGGTCGGAATACTTTTTCTTTAATCGCGCGAGTTCGTGCGAGTTCTTGGGCTCCGGTCCTGTTGAATTTTCAAGGCTCGTTGATTTCTTGTGATCTCCCGGTCATCAATCCACGATCACAACACGAAAAATATAATTTACAAAATTACATAATCCTATCCTAGATCCAACGAAAGGATGTACATGTTTTTCTAAACAAATAGTTAAATCTATTTGGTCAACCTCCGGGTGAATAATTATTACAAACATTCATCAATTAAATTTCTCGACATGTCCGAGGCTTTAAAAACAAATATAAAACCACACTTCACATTCAACAACATTCATCAAATACATAGTCACTCATAATAGTGGATTAAACTAATTCCTGCAAAACCAAGTTATACGAATATAAACCAATATATGGTTGCGTTTGAACACATCTTGTCAAATAAAGCCGTAAAAATTAGAACTTGTATAAAACGAATTAACCAAGTGCTCTGATGCCACTTGTTGGGATCTATGAAGATCTCGTTATGTACAAACCACGAATTCAATAGTAAACGTAAACCTATGCGCAACGGATCTAAAGGTTTGATGTAGAAAACTTACAGCTTAAAATTTACGGCGATCTGGCAGATCTTCCGGATGGCCGTACACAACACACGAACTGGATTGGATCACGAACGGAACGTTGGTCTTGCAATCGGGTCACGTGTGTCGGCTGTCGGGCTCGCCGGGAGCTGATCACGGAGGCGCGTGGGTCGCGTCACTGGGGCTGGTCGCGGGGCTCGGCTGGCGCGTGCGACAGAGCTGGGCTGGTCGCGGCGGTCCTCCGACCAGCGTCGCGGCTGGTCCGGCTGGTTCGGTTGGTCGTGGCCGGCAGTCCTCGGGCTCGGGCTCGTGGATCGTCGACTTTGTAGATCATGGGGTTAATTATATATATGTATCTCAATAAACTACGGGATCTTCTACTGTATATCTCAAACACCCTCTTCAACTTGTACCGATAGAATAACAATAAGAAGATAAAGCTCGAATGAGAACTGAGAGAGAGAGAGGGGGCAAACAACTTGGACGTGTACAATTGTGTGTTCTCTTCTCTTCCCATGAGCTTAATGATGTATATATAGAGCTATAGTTGGGACCGAGATTAAGAATAGGGCTCCTTAATTAATTAAAATACATGTGGGTCAGCCCACTTAATCTAAATAATTAAATAATATTAAATAGGTCACCAACATAATATTATTGCGCTCCCCTTTCCTAGTCCAATTTACAATTGAGACTCCAATAATAATTACTCGATTTGTCTCCCTATGTTTAAGATATAATATTCATTAATTAATTCGATTACTGACAATCAAGAATTAATTAATTTATTATTATTTCACCGAAGCTAACGTTTGTTCATCACACTCATATTATGCCATAATTTAATCCACATGCAGGGTTTAGCATAATAATCCTTCATGAACTCACTCCGGGGACACCATCAAACTAAACGCACATGGTGACAGTAAATATCCTAATAGCACATCATACATACAACAATATTACCCAAGACAATGGGTCTATTGGTCCAGTTTACTAAACCTCACTCGTGTGAATCAAAGCAACAAATACTTCATGTATATGTCTATTTAATATAATATTGGTTAAGAGTACTCAGTAATTAACCGAGACCTAGTTCGTTTACGACGATCACTATAAAATAAATTGCTCTTCTCTGGGATCCTGTTCAATACATAAATGTACCAGTGTAACTAATAAGCCAAGACAAACTGTACCGTTGACACTACAACCGCTCTTATGGGGTTTTCATGTCCATCTAGGTTGTGAACCATTAATTCCTATTTCGGGAGTAACTGATAGAGTGATCTTCGGTTCGCCCGATAACGACACACTCTATCTAATGCAAAACAACAGAATGTAGAACTTGTTTAATCCAACATGATTCTCATTCATAAAGGGTAAAAGTGTAATACCATCTAAAGCCAAGCTTTCAGTACATAACACTAACATCACGTCACTCTTAGGAGGGAAGGTTAAACCAACTGCCACTTGGCCCCAAAAAATAAAAAAAATAGTAGCCCTCGTGGGGCTGCTCGAAAGTTTCCCCCGCCTTTGGAGTCCTGATTTACCAGGGGAGTTGAAGCTCGGATATATGGCGAAGGGTGCCAGTTCAATCAGGGATCCAAAAGGCAAAAGGGTTAAATTGGTGGGATGATCCACCTGGGCAAGTTGTCTCTCTGGGGAAGAAGTAGTTGAGGTATCAGAAGACATGTTGGTCTATGTATCAAAGGGTAAGAAAGAGCGAGGCTAGGGTTTTTTTTCCTGTAGGGCTATTAGAAGAGTAATAGAAGTAAAAGTGCAAAAGATTTAAGGAAAGCCAAAACATACCCATGTAAGAGAGAACAATGAGGAAGAATGTTAAAGGTTGCCATGAGAAGGTCTCCAAAGATGTAGAATAGAAGTAGATACTTTTTCACAAAGAAAGTTGAGTAAGAAAGGATGCAGAGTAAGTCACAAAAGGGTGAAAGAGGAATATTTATAGGCTCGAGAAAAATTACTACGAGAAAAAAATCAGACCGTTAGAGGGATACAAGATTCACAAATCCTCTAAGAATTCAGTTCGATGCACCCATGTGTGCAGTGTATGAGTCCAAAATCCAGATGAACATGAACAAAGTATCTTGTTGGCCACTCATACTCTCCTGGGGTTTTGGTACATTGAACATGAGAAGGTGTAAAGTTCAGGCATCTAAGTCCATTTTAGTACAAGTCCGGATAGCTTGTTCTAAAATGGAGGGGATGGAGGGGGGAGGGGGGAGGCGCTAGATGATATAGCACCAAAAAAACAACTTGGTAAATCGATTTGAGAGAATAGCTCGGCTATGACCAGGCAAGGAGAACTCCCGTACCGTAAGAAAAGAGCTGCTCGGCCAAGTAGCTTGGACATGAGTTAGATGTGTCGAGCTTGCAGAACCAATCCGACCTGGAGGTGCCGGCCTCTAGGAGCCCAGTCAAGAAACGTACCTCGATGCACATTAAGGTCGATTGACCTGGGGGAAAGATAGACCTAAAGGTGAGGTCGTTTAGAACTCGAGACAAGGTCAAGGACATCTTCAGAAAGGTCATAACAGATAAGATGGGAGGTCGGGTTCATGACAAAAGGATCCCCTAACTAAAAGAGTAAAGGGGGAAAAGAATCCAAGTAAGAAGAAATGAACCATTCGCCCAAGGACTCATGCCAAGATAGAGACGTGGTAAGTTAGGGAAGAATGGGTGGATCTCTTCCCTAACAAGAACTCTCTTCGGTTTGGAGGTATACAGTTCTATATAAGGACAACATGTTCTCTCGATTTACATAACACATGATCCATGCCTAATTTTTGTACTCTATGCTTACAATTGTGAGCGAGTTCTAACTTGAGAGTCTGAGAATTTTCTGTTGGGTTCATCAAGAGCTCAAGGAAGAGGAAAGTTTCAAGTGAAAGGCGTTCAACCCGTTCGTGACCAAAGGTGACGTATCAAAAGACACACTTATGATCAATCCTCAAATTTCTTATCTTGAGGTGTTTGAATGACCGATAAATGGTGCTTTCACATACCATTTGCAATAACTTGACACACACTTCACATAATATTGTTTGGTGCATGAATTTTCAACCTTGAACTGATATTGATGCTTTATAGCATGCCGAGTCAACTCTATGCAACATTTCTTTGTTTTTGTGTAAAAGACCAACAACGATATTCAAGTAGAAATTATGTTCGTCCGACAAACTAAATGCACTCTCTAGATATATAGAGAGTTTATGTTCGGTAAATGTAGCCATCTCCTCTATATCTTCAGCTACATTCCGTGCAAAATACATGAAGTTCATTGACCCATCTGTGACATCATTATAGTTTTCGAGCTCCGCATACCTCAAAAGAGCTACATTTAATTCGAAATCCATCTCTTCAACATGTCTGGCTCTTTTAAATGAATTCCATCGTTAACCTAGGACTTCACGACCAAGCATAATGGAAATTTCGTGTAGTCTGGTTCCTTAAACTTCAGTTTCACATAAAAATTAAGAATGCTATTATCACTTATGCACATCGATGGATATCCTTCCTTCAACTGATACTTTAACTCAAGAACAGACGATCGACAAGTAACATCTAGTTTATCACTCAGTACACCGCATAGTTCACTGTAGCTGCAATTTTAGGTCGTATAGGTGCAAATATATTCTACAAAGAATATAAGTATGTGTGTAAATTCGCCTAAAAAGATTGGGCTTCAATATGTAGAGGCGTTGTTGGGCATTGAAGAGCTATAACTGCTAAGCCCAACTCCTCACGGGCTTGATAAATATCTAACAAGTGGTCACCGCTCTGATAGATCACAAATACTGCTCTGCATTTTGATGTTATCATCCCATTTCGAAATTTGCTGTAATCCGCCATCTGAGTTCAAAATTTCTGCAAGAAGTGAACTTTCTCCGGCAGCAGTCGGCCGCAGATGGGGAGCTCGTCGGCGGCGCCGTGGAAGCATCTTCTCCTCGGCTCAATCCAAGCCAATTCCCACCTAAAGCATTGTTCCTATTTCCAGCTCGTACGCACAAAGATGATCCTCTCATTTCTTAAATTTCATCTGTATCGAAGTCTTTTCCTCCCTCTAAATTTATTCATTCGAATCTTGTGTTTTCAGGCAACTGTCTCATCCAGTAGCAAACCCTCGAACCGTACTGTTGTTTTCAGGTTTGTTGTCTGATTCAGGACAAGGCAGAGTTATGCTGTTATTATTGTTGTTGTCGTATTCTGTTAGCTAGCTGAAATTTGTGTTGTGTGTGTGTTTAAAATCAGAGGATTTCAGGATGATGGTGATAGGATCTTGATCAACACCGACACTCGTACTCGTAAGGTTAATACTTAATGTGCCCTTGTTTTGTTGAAGGGTTCGATTGTTTTGTTGTTGCATTTGATTCAAATTCGATGTGGTTGTGCTAATATGTAAATTGAGTCTTCATCTCTGATGAGTTCACTTTGAGAATTTGAGATGATATCACTAGCTTTCTACCTTAGTAGTGGATGTTTGTCTATTGCTGTGATTTGGGTTTGTAGCTTTGTCTACCATAATCGACTTTCTCAGTTATTCGACGTGCTTGTTGTATTCAAAACAATGGCAATTTATAGATTCGAGTTGCAAATTATCATGAGATTGAATTATGCATATCATACCTGTTTGTGTTGACATGTATTTGGGACTAAAATAACTTCGCAGACTTGTGTTCATCCCCTTTCCTCCAATGAAGATATGTATTTTTCTTCCTCCCTACTCTTCAAAATATCGCCTTTACTATTTCTACTTCTTTTTTGTAACCATATGGTCCAGAGAAAAACTAATTCAACTCAAAATGTCACAGATTGATGATCTCAAGCACTGCCCGTTTGCCGAGGTACATATATTTTTGGTCCACCTTGTGGACAAACTCAAACTTTTGCTTCAGCTGTTACATTGGCCTTGCAGCTTCATGCCTTTACTCACCATGACAATTCAGATATGCTGGTATTTTACCGACTCGTGGGAGCAGTTTCGCATTAGCGGACATGTGGATGTCATAGACGGAACTAATCCTGATCCAGTTAAACTTCAGGTGATGACATTGCCTCTCTAAATACCAAACTGTACATTTTATTACTCTTCTACCCGTGGATAATCCCTGAAAAATGCCAAAACAAAACTTCTGTGCATGTTAGTTGTTAATTGACATTGAATTTTGAATGATGTGACCAACTATCTTGTAGCAAAGAGAGAAATCTTGGTTTGCCTGTTCTCTTAAATCGAGAATGCAGTATACCATGCCCACCCCAAGAATTTCTATTCACGACCCGCCATCTCAAACACCCTCTTTAGATCCTTCGGTTGGACCCACTGATACATTTTGCCTGCTCGTGCTTGATCCTGACCAGGTTACAGAACTATCTCCAAGTATATATGTATATGTAGCATTGATATCATATGATGTTCACAATGTATTGTGTCAATAGGTTGATTATCTGAACTTAAAGAGCAATGAGAGGCTAGTCTTTACATCGGAACCGAGCGTCAATGGTGAGAGGCTTTGGACTTCAGAGCAAGTCAATCCGTAGATTCCTCCGGCTTGTAACTTTATCAGATTTGAAACCGCGATAGCTGTTGTAACTTCTATAGGTAGTGTATGTCATTAGACGACTCTAATAAAACATTGGCAATTAGTATTATCATGAAGGTAGAAAGAGGACAATTTAATCATGTTATCATTGAAAAAATAAAAGAAGAACATATGATGTTCACAATTGTTCAACAATGTTCGATTAATCAACCTACGTTACTCAAAAGGACAACCAAATGTAACATGTATCGGCATCAGTGAATCAGAGAGGGACAGAAACAAGAAATAGAGAATAAAAACTGATATAAACTGCAACGGTGATCCAAACAGCACAACATTTGTGTTACTTTTGCCCAAATTAGGTACATTTTCAACACATATTTGCAAAGGTTACAAATTCTTAAACACACACAAAAGCTCAAAGTTGTTACCATTAAAAGCCAAATCAAACCATACAAGAAAAAAAAGGAAAGAAAAAAAAAGGGGCAAATTCTAGGAAACACGAGACGGATACTTCTTGTCATCCACTCAACTTCCTCAACTTCCAGATTCATTCGCAAGCGTAGTAATAGACAGGTTTTAAGATTTGCCGGTGAGTTGCTGAGGCAGGGGGACCTTATCATCGGCTGCGGGTGGCTGGTGGCGGTGAGAGGGGGCGTCGGTGGTGAAAGAAGGGTGTTTGGTGAGCATGAGCGGCCGATCCTTAGCCTCCTCGTCATCGTCCATGTCGTCGTCGTCGTCGTCGGTGGACAGGTGGATGCACGAGCATCGCTCGAGGGAAGCGAAGAAGGCGGTGGCGACGTTGGTCCCCACCCAGCTCGCCGCCCGATCCAGCTTCTCGCACCTGCCCATGCTGCCGCCGACGTTGTCCGCCGCCGACATCTTTAATATCCCTTGAATCTTTAGCCAGAAATTGATCGGTTGGGGATGCGGTGGATTGGATGGAATTTTAGAGATAAAAAGTGATTGAGGATTTTGGTGGAGAATTTCAGACAGAGATTACGGGTAGATAATAATAATATTAAGATTCGGTTTTTTTATGTATTGGTGTGAGTCTTTGTGTGTGTAACGGCCGGTTTTCTTTTTTTTTTTTTTTTTTTTTTTTTTTTTTGTGTGTGGATTGGAGATGAGCTGGAAAGGAAGTAAATTATGATTATTCAATTTAAGTCCTAATTATAGGAGATGATTGCGAAGGCTAATTTATTTACATATATAATAAAAATAATCATTTATTAAAAATAGTAGTAAAATATTTTGAAAGTATTTAGTGCATACTTTTTTTTTGGAATTTTTTAAATATAAGTTTTAATTGCTTTCATATACATATTTTCAAAAAAGAAAAAATACAAAAATAGTACGTAAATTTCTCGCTCATTTTTTTGTTTTCTACCAATAAAGGATTTTATTTTTTTTTGAAATCTTTGGGAGAATCCTGCCCATGATTCTTATTCAATTTTTTTTTGATTTTTTTTGAAAAAATTATATTAAAACATTTAAAAGAAAGATTACAAGTAGACTTTTGGGATACATTTCATTTTATTTTAACTTTCATATAAACACATTCCTAACAATTAATTAACATAATATTTTTTTATCTAAGTTATCTAATCGAGTATTTTAAGATATAATTAATATAATATTTTATTTAATTAATTATACAATTATTCTTACGATTATAATTATTAAAATATTAATTATTTTAGAAAAATTATAAAAATAAATTTGAATTGTCATACCTTTTATCATCATAATAACACTTTGTTCAATTCTCTCGTTGAGAGCAAAATTCTCTCGTTGAGAGCTTCATTATCTTGTTGAGATTCCAAATTCTTCTGCTGGGAGCCGCAAATCTTCCTGGTGATTTCTGGTTTTGGGTATTGTTTTCCAGAATTTTCATTTGTTCGATTTCTAGGGTTTGGGTTTTTTGGGGGAATCTTTGGGTCCTGAGATTGGGGATTCTAGTGGAGGGAAGGAAATAGGGTGTGATTTGGGGGGAGATGTGCTTCGCAAACTTCATGCCTGTTCGTTGTCGGAGAATGAGGCGGGGGGCGTTGAACTGAGAGTTGATGATGTCAAAGCGGGCGATGAAGAATGTGAGCAGAGCCTCTTTGGTAAAGTAGTAGGGGATAAACCTGCGAGTATATTGGGGATTAAACGCACGATGAGTAGCATTTGCAAGCTGCGGCAGACGATGGAGGTGAAGGAGATCAGTTCCAATTTCTTTCAATTCCTATTTACATCAATAGAAGACAAAGCAAAGGTGGCTGCGGGTAATAACTGGCTATTTGAGAACCAATATCTTATCTTAACGGAATGGTTTTCAGGACTGCACAGCTCCCACTCTTACTTTGAGGAAATTAATATCTGGGTTTAAGTGCAGAATGTGCCTCTGAATTGGATGTGCACGGAGGTGGGAATGAAGATAGGCCAGAACTTCAATAAAGTGAAGAATGTGGTTATCTGCAAAATGGAAAGAGAAGTTGGGAGTTTTATTAAAATTCTTGTTGCTATGAGTTTGAAGGAGCCAATACCCAAGTGCACAGCAGTTAAGCTGGGTGATTAACGCATAACGGTGGTGTTTAGGTATGAGAGACTTGTTAATTTATGCTATTATTGTGGGATGATGATGTAGAACGTGATACGAAAACAAGGAAGATCAAGATACTCTCTCGTGAAAATAGAACACCAGATAATTTCATAAAATTCTTCAATGCGTTCTCATGTCCCGATGAGATAATAAATAGAAAAGAGACTCCACGTTGCCAAACAACTGAAGGACATTATTTACTTACCTAGTCTAACATGAGAAATAAAGGAAATAGACTAAAAAATAGTAAGGGAAAATAAAATAAATAAAGAACTAAATCCGGAGTCGGTCAAATTTATCCAAATATGCCAAGGCAACCTCGTCTCCATCATCCTCCCCCGATTGAGAAGGATTCGGCCGCGAATCCAAACCAACCTCGTCTCCGTCTGAATTGTCACCCGCAAATGACACCAAATGTTTGACGTTAAAAATGTCCGAAGTGAGAATATGGGAGGGCAGACGAATGCGATATGCATTCGGATTAATATTCTCGACTATCTCCATCGGGCCAATCTTCCGAGCTGACAATTTGTTGAACTCATGAGCAGTGAAGCGATCCTTAGTGAGAACGTCCACACATAATCTCCAACCTCGAACTCGACATGACGCCGCCGGACATCTGCACGTTGCTTGTACGCCGCGGTCGTGGCCTCCAAGCGAGCCCGGACAGCATCATGCATGGCCTTCAACTCTGTCACAAAGTCAGCAGCCCGACGATCGTCGGTCGCCACAGGAATCGCTACGAGGTCGGACGGGCCCCGCGGCCTCACCGCATAAACTGCCTCAAAAGGGGATATCCCCGTGGCCCGACTCACTGCCGAGTTATGAGCAAACTCGGCCTGGCTCAGCCGCTGGTCCCAACTACGAAGGTTGTCACCTACCAAGCAACGAAGCAAATTACCCAACGAACGGTTCACCATTTCCGTTTGCCCATCCGTCTGAGGGTGGTATGCACTACTGAATTCAACTTGGTGTTCGCCATGTGCCACAGGCTACGCCAGAAGTGGCTAAAAAACCGAGTATCGCGGTCCGAGACAATAGAGGACGGAAGCCCATGCAAACGGTAAATCTCCCGGAAGAACAGTTTAGCTACATGCACCACATCTGTAGTGCGCTTACATGGTACAAAGTGCACCATCTTCGAAAACCGGTCGACGACTACAAAGATGGAGTCAAAGCCGCGTTGAGTCCGTGGTAACCCCAACACGAAATCCATACTAATCGCACACCAAAGCTGTGAAGGAATATGAAGGGGCCAATAAAGCCCGGCATTCGAAGCAACACCCTTCGAAACCTGACAAACCCGACAACGTTCCACATAGCGGGCCACATCGCGACGAAGGGATGGCCAATAGTAGAGTCGGCCCACCAAATCCACCGAGCGGTCTCGTCCCACATGCCCCGCGCCGTGTAGGTCGGCCACAAGTTTGTGACGCAGGCTACGCTCCGGAATACATAGGCGGGACCCATGAAAAACGAAACCGTCCGAGAGGACATAATCCTCGACCGACCCGTGCGCAAGTCGACGAACGATAGGGCCAAAAAGATCGTCCTCCGCGTACTGCTCCCGTAAGGTATCAAAACTGATAACCGACACACGCATGTCCGATAACAAGAGGGCCCTCCGACTCAAAGCATCCGCTACTCTGTTCGACACCCCCGAACAGTGACGAAGCACAAATGTAAACTGCTATAGGAACGTTGTCCAAGAGGCATGACGGGCATATATATTGTCCTGAGAAGCCAAATGACGCAAGGCCTCATGGTCCGTGTAAAGAATAAACTCCCGGTGAAATAGATAGTGTCGCCAATGACGTACAGCCCGAACCACAACATAAAATTCCACATCATACGTATTGTATCGTAAATGCGGCCTGAATAATTTTTCACTAAAAAAAGAGACCGGACGGCCATCCTGGCCGAGGACATCACCAATCCCAACGTTCGAAGCATCACAAGACAACTCAAAAGTCTTCAAAAAATCCGGTAAAACGAGCACTGGCGCGGTCGTCAACTTGCGCTTAATAAGGGTAAAAGCCTCTTCAGCCTGCAGGGTCCACAAAAAGGCTTTGCCATGCAAGCAATCAGTAATAGGCGCATCAATAGTACTAAAGTGTGAGATAAAACGACGGTATAAAGAGACGAGCCCGTGAAAGCTGCGCGCCTCGGTGAAAGATGTAGGGGTCGGTCAATCAAGAATAGCCGTCACTTTACTGTCATCCACCCTGATACCATAAGCAGAAATAACAAATCCCAAAAAAAAAAAAAAGAACGGAATGAGCCAAAAAAAAAAACATTTACGAGGAGCGGCAAAAAAGGACTCAACACGTAGCACCAATAAGACCTCCCGAACATGCTGTAGGTGCTCCTCCATAGACCGGCTGTAGATAAGAATATCGTCGAAATAAATGACGACACTCTTAACGATAAAATCACATAAGGCCTGGTTCCATTCGAAAGCCCGAACGACATCACCATCCATTCGAACAAGCCCTCTCTGATCTTAAAAGCTGTCTTCCATTTGTCACCTGGCCTAATCCGGATTTGATGATAACCGCTACGTAGATCGAGCTTGGTGAAAACAGAAGCACCGTGCAACTGGTCCAATAGGTCATCCAGGCGAGGAATCGAGAATCGGTAACGAACAGTGATCTTATTGATTGCACGGCTGTCTACGCACATACGCCAGGAACTATCTTTCTTTGGAATGAGGAGGGCCGGCACCGCACACGGGCTCAGACTCCGGTGCACAACACCACGTTGGAGAAGCTCCTCAACTTGGCGTCGCAATTCCTCATGTTCCGTCGGGCTCATGCGCCACAGGGTACGCCAGAAGTGGCTCAAAAGCTGAGTA